ATAAACCTAAAACATTTACAGCCAATTTTGAAAGAGATGCATCTTAGCTCTGGGAATTGTTATTGAATAGGTCAATGCTGTTGTAATGAAGTGCTTCTTCTAATTATATGGTTATTAAATAAATAATTTAAAAAAATTTATGATTATCAAATGTTTTCTCCTTGAAGGAGCTCTGTTAGAAAACAAACGCAGTCCCTCAGAGAGGCTGCATGGGCCCTCTCCCCTCTCATTGCAGCTCCTGGCAGATTCCAGGAGCCTTTGTTTTTGACTTCCTCATTTTTTCTCAACTGACCTTTGGAGGTTTTGGTGGGCTATTGTTTTGTTTTGCTTTGTTCTGAGACAGGGTCTCACTGTGTAGCCAAAGTTGGCCTCAAACCCCATGAGCCTCCTGTCCCAGTTTCTGAAATGCAGGGATTATGGACATGTGCTAGCACAGTTACCTTTCAGGGGGTTTCAGTGGAGAGTAAGGCAAAAGAAAACAGTAGCCAAGGAGTGTAGGCCTGGGCAGATGGAGGGGCACTGGCTTCCCTTCTGTCTGCTCACCTCCTTAGAGTTCAGCACTAGCTTAGTCCTGTGCCTAGTGCTTGCCGCTCTCCACCACTGGGTGTGTCTTAGAACTTGAATTTTACCAGGGCCCAGGTCCCTTTGTTCCCTGCATTGCCTTTGCAAGGTCAAACTTCTCTCCTCAGGCTGTGCCCAGTCCCACCAGCCACACTCAGCCACTCTCCAACCCCCAGATCCTACTTTACTTCCCGTCTTTTCTCTCTAAATCCTCCTTTGTCACTTCTTTAGCCAATCAGGAAACTGGAATGTGCACTCTACTACAGTGTCATGTCTCTGAGGGACGATTTTCCTGTTTTGCTGTCCGTTTTATCCTGAGAATGACGGATGAAACACAGTAGGAATTTTGGGGGAATGAATGCTGAAAACGTTCTGAGGTGTCCTTGAGTTTTACACTGTATGTTTTATGTCCACATTTCAACAAGACAGCTGGGGCTGGGTTTACACGTTGTGTTTTC